ATATTGACTGCAAAATAGTAGGCCAGTTTGAAAGAAATTTGCAGAACCTTCACAATAAACTAAGTAAAACTCCGGAGATTTTTCAGGAATATAAAAATATAATTGAGAACTAGATATTAGAAGGAATTGTGGAGGAATGTCCAAATAATGATACAAATTTGTGATATTTTATGCCGCACCGAGCAGTGATACGACCTAGTGAAACTACTGAGGTAAGAATTGTGTATGATGGTAGCTCAAGGACAGAGACACGAATTCGTTAAATGACTGCCTTGAATCGGGACCTAATCTAAATCCAAATATACTAGACATTATGTTAAATTTTCGTAAGTTTAAGATAGCGTTTTGTGGAGACGTTGAAAAAGCCTTTTTGATGATAGGAATTGCTGAAGGTGATAGACAATTTCTAAAATTTCTTTGGTTTAATGAAAATAATGACTCCTTTAAGATTATGCAAATGTGTCGCGTAGCTTTCGGTTTGACTATATCTCCTTTCATTTTGGCCGCCACTATAAAATATCACATTCGAAAATATAAAGATAAAATGCCGGACAGTTTCCAAATGTTAAATTCTTCTGTCTATGTCGATGACCTATATTTTGGAGCAGGAACGGTTGAAGATGCATATCGGTTATCTGTAGATGCGGTTAATATATTTAAGGATGCTGGGATGAATTTCAGAAAATTAAGAACTAATTCTAAAGCATTAAACGATTTATGGTCTCAGATGGGATTAAGGAATCAGATAACAAATTAACTAGTGAGTCGAATTTCTTAGGCATGATTTGGAATTCCATTGAGGACAAAATAAAGTTAAATTTAAAAAATTTAATTGACTTTTCTACTGGAAACGATTTTGTTACAAAAGGAAACTTTTGCAAAGTATCGCCCAAATATATGATCCATTTGGATTTATTGCACCCTTTGTTATTCGGGCAAAAATTATTATGCAAGAAATCTGGTGTTCCGGTTCTGACTGGGATGAGGTCCTTCCTGCAGAGATTAAGCACAAATTCAACATCTGGCGGGAGGAACTTAATGATTTAACTGAAATATCGATACAGCGAAATTTCTTTGATGACAATCCAATGAATATCAGCCTTCACCTATTTTCGAACGCTAGTCCTAAAGCATATGGGGCCATCGCATACTATTTCAGATATTGTACGAGTGATTCTGAAATTAAAACTTCCTTTATCATGTCAAAATGCAGAGTTGCACCTTTAAGATCAATCATGCTTCCTCGTTTAGAGTTAATGGGAGCACTCGTGGCTGCTCAAAGGTATAAATATTTGAAAAAATTGTTTGGTGATTTAATTGAGGATGTTTATTTTTGGAGTGATTCCGAAATCGCCATTACTTGGATTAAAGGTTCGCCAAATATTGGAAACCATTTATCGCCAATCGTGTTACAGAAATACAGGGTATATGCAACAAAAAATTGTGGAACCACTGCGAAGGAAAACAAAATCCTTCCGATTTACTACTGACTCGAGGAATTAGTGCTCAGTCACTAGTTAAGAATGATCTGTGGTGGCATGGGCCACACTGGTTACGTTTTTCCTACTGAAAACTTTCCAAAACAAAAGAAATTACAAACCAAATTCAGAATCGTTGGAGTTAAGAAAAGTATTATTTTGACTGTACCTGTAATTAACAATGAAATCCCCAATTTTGCATATAGAAAAATTCAGTTCTTTAGGAAAATTACTTCGAATTACTGCCTATGTATTTAGATTTATTGGGAGGCTTCGGAAAAGGTCTACAGGGAATGGACCTTTAAGTGCTTTTGAGATTAAAGCAGCTGAACATTATTGGGTAAAAATTACGCAACGAGAATCGTATCAAGTGGAAATAATTAAGTTATCACATAAAAAATCAATTCTTGATTCTTCCATCTACTCCCTTAATCCAAGGCTTGATGAGGAGGGAATTCTTCGGTTGAAAGGTCGCATTCAATTTGCAGACTGTCACGAGAATTTAAAACATCCTATTCTATTACCCTCTAATTGCAAGTTTACCGAGTTGATCATCATGGACTCGCATGAAAAGGTATTCCATTCTGGAGTTAATTCGACACTTACTCAGATCAGAGACAAATATTGGATCATTAAGGGAAGACAGCGTGTTAAGACTATCATCAGCAAATGCGTGATATGCAGACGATATAGTGCTCGTCCTGGGGTACAGGATATCGCTCCACTTCCTCCAGACAGAATCCAAGAGTCGCCTCCATTTGCTGTGACCGGGTTGGACTTCGCCGGTCCATTTTTTACGAAAGACAGGCAAGGTAAAGTTTACATGCTGTTGTTAACGTGTGCGGTCACTCGTGCCTTACATATAGAGATAGTAACTGATCTCAGCACTGAAAGTTTTTTGCTAGCTTTCCGAAGATTTTTAGCTCGCCGAGGACTGTGTACCACCGTGTACTCCGATAATGCCAAGACTTTTAAAAGAGCTGACAAAGAACTAAAACATATTTCAAAACTTTGAGTGACTCATCTGTGAAAAAAGAATTATTTTCTGCTAGAGGCATAAATTGGAAATTTATTATTGAGAGGGGTCCATGGTGGGGAGGGTTTTGGGAGCGTATGGTACGAACCATAAAATCCAGCTTGCGAAAAATTATTGGTCGATCATCCCTTACTGTGAAAGAGCTTGAAACAGTGCTCATTGAAATCGAGGCAATGATTAATTGTAGACCAATTACCTACGTGTTTACCGCTCCCAATGAACCTTCTCCACTGAACCCTTCTCATTTTCTGGTTGGTAGACGATTACTATCTCTGCCTGCTAATAAAATAACATCAAATAATTTGATTGGATCAAGAAATTCAATTATTAAACGATATAAATACCATCAATCAAGATATTTTAAATCATTTTTGGAAGCGTTGGAGATCAGAGTATCTTGTTTAATCTGAGATCTGCCAATATTTGTCCTCTACACTGTAACGCATCTTAGTTTAAAATCAACGATATTGTCTTGATTCATGACGATAAACATCCCCGAAATCTCTGGACAATAGGTAAAATTTTGGAGTTAATGCCAGGCAGAGATGGTAAAATAAGATCTTGCATAATTAAAACACCTACTGGTACCTTAAAAAGGCCTATACAATTGTTATATAATATGGAACTTAACTAATGTTTGTATTTTGTATTTTTAGGTTTGATTCTTCTGACCTTGCTGATAGGTATCATTTAATGTTTGTAATTTTCATGTGCTTATAATTATGTGTGCATGTTTGTTATATTTAACATTTCTCTAGAATTGATTGTTTAATTATTAATTGAATATTCTGAAATATATTATTGAAATATGAACTCTCCACCGAGTTCAGGTGGGGAGTGTTGTATAATTTGAAGGAAAAGGCTAGAGGGCACCGTTGCTCGGATAGTTGAAAGAGAATAAAGTTTGTTCATGTTGAAGGCGGCGGCCTAAGAATACGCTCTGTATATAGTAATTAAAATATTGTTAAAAATGTAAAAGTGTTAAAATTAGTGAACTCACTGAACCACCATCATCTGATTTGAAAAATGCACAAAATTATTATATGGACGAACATTGCTACAGTACTCTTTTTTAAGATGGAAGCCCTCTTTTATTTCTTGTGTGAGTTTTGATATCTGATCAACAGTATTTTTAGATTTTCCTAAAACTGGCCTGTCTATCAGAAATATAATGGAAATCTGAGTGACACTTTCATAGGCATTTTACCGAGATTAATGAGAAACTCCGGCAGGATTCCATCCAGTGTTGCACTCCTCCTCTGCGGCAATCATTCATTTTGTATATTCATAATCTTCACCTCTGAAATATCATTAAGGTATTATCATATAACTATTTGGAATTTTGATTAAATTGAATTATTTTTAATTTCTCTGGTTTCCTCATCAGAAAATTAAGAAATGGTCATAAGTATCCAAAATAGTCTAGTTAAAATAAATAATAATGTGCTATTTATTTTCTAAAATAAATTATTTAAAATTCAGTGTCACCCAAATAGTATTGTAGACAGCAAATTTTGTAAGTTTGAAAATTAAGTGTGGATTCAGCTCTCACATAAAGCCCAATTAAAGAAATGAATAATAAGCAATAGGAACTGGCATAATGTAATTAAAGTTTAGTGCTGGGGGTCAAACAGAGCATTTTCCTTCAGCCGTAAAAAAAGTATGATAAAATAAGTAAGTAACATCAAAATGAACAAAAAAGTATGATAAAATAAGTAAGAAATATCAAAATGACAAAAAAGTATGTCAGAACAAAGAAATAAGCTAATACATTTTTGGCTAAGTAACAGGAAATGAACCACCATAACAGCGTTTTATGAAAGAAAATTACAGAAAAAATGTGATTAATTAAGAGGGCATGAAGAGATTTTTATTAATATGCAATGCCTTCAGGAAATCTGATTTGTCAAATGAAGGTTTTAAGGATTAATTTGGCTGCAGAAAAATGATAGGTGCAGTTTCCTGATTAACAACAATGGAAAATGGAAGAACTTTAAGGTCAAGTTATTTATGCAGTATCTTTCCCCTTCTCTAAGGCTTAGTGTTGGTCACCTGCTGTGATACACTGTAGAATGATGAGATGGTTAACTGCAGTGTGACCCACTGGTGGATCACAATATATTTGTTTCTGGGGAGTCATGATCCACTGGTGGATCACAGCAATTTTTATACTTGTGGCTGCATGTATTACTGGCAGATCATCTTTCTGCAGTTTTATATGGGAATATCAATTTCTTTGGCATCCAAATCATTCTTTTCAAATTGGTCCTTATGCATATTGGCAGTAAACGTATTAAATGACTCATGGCCAGAATTTGCAATGAAATACCTAATCAGAAATACTTGTTCATTTAAGCAGTAAATAAATACTATAATGTATGTGATTTCATTATAAAATCACATACAAAAATGATTTGTCAATCTTTCAAAGTATAAATTAATGGACAAATATTTAATCCATAACAAAAAATAACAACAAAACCAACCTATTATTTGTACCAGCTGGAAAGAGGTTAACACCTTTTACTAGAAGTTGCAAATCATCAGGTGACCATGGTTTCTGTGAATTTGTTTTTTCTGCTGAATTTGAAGTGGATCGCTGAGAAGAAGCAAAAAGCTGCTCTTTCTCCATTTCCAGATGTTTATTCAGAGATTCCACCTACATAACATAATTATACATCATCAAAAGATACAAATAAGGTTTTTTAGGGGTACAGATTTAGGTAAATAAATATGATATTTGCATACATTTTAAACAACTGAAAGAGTATTATTTACCAATAAACAGACATCATTAATGCAAAATATAACATCTTAAAATACAGAACAGAAATTTTTTAGAAATCTAAATTAAAGGGAAAATTAGAGCAGGCAAAAAGTACGCTTAAAAATTTTTCCAGTGTAGCAATCTCATGAATGATGCAATATGCATTCTATTTTTGTCAAAGGTGGTTGTTGGTATAATTCCTGGCATAGAAACTAAATGATTATACTGTGCCAAAACAAAAGTTATATTAATTCTAAATAGTTAAAACCACATTTAAAAAAAAAAAAACTGATGATTTAAAAAAAAAAAAAAAAAAAAAAAGATACTAAAATGAATGCATGATTAAAACTCAGTGAATGAATACAAACATAAAACCAGATAAAATCAAAAAACATGATAATGAATAAAGATATATCAAAACACAATAACCCACATTAAAATCAAATTAAATAATAGCATTCTGTCTCTTTCAGATACTTAAATAGATCAGGATTGACCTCTTTCCCAATTAAATGGTTAACACTAGAAGCGCCGAGCTTTCTCCCTACCTAGAAGCACCAACAGCAGTCAAACTGACTGCTCAGCAAATTAAATGCATATATCAAAATGCAAATGCTTTATAATGCTTTTAAGAATACTAATTATAGTTGTTTAAGAACGTCTTTAGAGAACAAGAGATTATCTTTATAAAAAAAGATATTTTATAATAAATTTCAACTTACTCTTAATAGAACACATATTGTAGCTTTTCGCAATTTTTATTTTAACTTTTTCAATATTTCCACACACGTAATATGAAAGTTTTTTACACACATCGCTGGTTTTGTTTTGTTGTTACAACGTCCAATATGGCACTAACATCTTTTCTTCGAGAGTCTACTCACAGAGATGGAAATTTCCTGGGGCAATCTTGTGTTTTATCTTCTGTTTAAATGAAGCTCCCTTTAACTTCTTTGCTAATTGAGATAGGAAGCTGTGCCTTGTAATATTTTTATCACTCAATTTATGGCAGATAATGTAGATATTCGTTCCTTCTAAACCCAGTAGAGTATAGAAAACATGCACAGGTCATCTACGTGAAGCAGCCCGAAGAGAATATTTATGCGTCATCTAGTCAAGTATATCAACTCCACACTTGATTTTGTTGTAGAACTCTACTGTTTCTGGAAGTTTCTTCTTATTTTACGAGTCTACATTTACACTCGAATGTAAGGTATTTAGTAGTAGGACATTTTTATTCCTTTTCCCTGACAGACCTTCAGTTTAATTTCTCCATTCTTTGGCAAAACTGTTTCAAATAGCCGGGGTTTGACTTCCTTACTTCATGCGAAATTTCTTTTCGATGCCTTCTCACTTAACCCCCAAAACTTCTGTTTTCCAGTTTTAATCTTTTAGCTAATGATAGTGAGGGAAAATGATTGTCCGCAGTCAAATTTCTACTCCCTGAATTCAGATAATGGCTTAGAAGACATATTACTACATTTCCAAGAAGACTTTCAGTTTCACTTCTCGATGTATCTTTTCCAAGATATGGAAAAGCATCGCACATAAACTTTAAGACTACATCAACTAGCACCCAACATTTGATACCCAGTTTGTTTGGTTTATTTGGTATATACTGTATAAACACATTTGACTTTGGATGGAAATAACTGCTCTTCTACAATTAGATATTTTCCTGGCTTATGGGAAATTGCGCAGTTCTGTATAAAGTTTTTTCAAATATCAGAAAAGAGTGCAAACTTATCACTTTCTAAATGCTGAGTCCTAGCTGACTTCAGGTCAAACCTTAGATATTTCATAATATCTCAAAAACGATTGTAAAACATTGTTTCTCGAAAAAAAGGAGGCCCTAATGTACTATTCTACAAAAAATTATAATCCATATTATTACAACCATGTGCTCCTCTTGCATAAATAATAGTAATACAAGCATGAAGCTTTTCTAAAGATACTGTCTAAATTTCTTCATTGTTCAAAACTGTCACTGCTTCAGTGCACATTTTAATATGGCGTAACATCGATTCATTCACAAACAACCTCCACACTCTCGGCACATTGTCTCCAAAATTTATAAGATGTTGGATTTGGCAATTCGTTTAGCACATTTTGAGCTTTATTTATCCCAGCTGTAGTTTGTGAAGTAGATGTCACAGTCCACGAAGAAAGGTGTTTTCTGAGCGGAAGGGATGTATACCCTATTGTAAATAATAAGTGAATTAAAGGAATGTGTCTGCCAGATGTTTTTCAGAGAAAAAGCATTTTTCTGAGCGAGATAACAATATAAATCTACCTAGTATTACTAGCAGTCAATGTGGATGCTCATGGTGCTTTTACGTATAACAAATAATACACTCACTTCTAAAAACCAAGCACGAAGATGTAAAATGCAAAAAATCAACAAATACTGCTTTGAGTGACACAAAATTCGCAGGAAAGCAGCATATATATTTATGCATAAAACAAAATCAATAATTATATACAGAAATGAAAACAATATTAAATTTTTGTAAGTTATCAGATAATGACATACTGGAGACTTAAACATAATTGTGTATAAAGTGAAAATAAACAGCATAAAATGAAAAAAAAAGGACATTAACAGGGTATGTGATCCCCCCTCATCTGTATACAAAGTTTACACCTTGTGACCATGCTTTCAATGCTTTCCACCGCAGAATTAAGCAATTGCCATTCTTCTTGTAGAGCAGTTTCCAGCTCAATAAAGAGTGGCTGGAGGTGGGAAACGTAAAGATACAGCACGGCCAAGAGCATCCCAAAGATTTTCAATGGGATTAAGGTCGGGCGAATATGCTGGCAATGCCATATGCTCAATCCCTTCTTTCTCCAAGTAGTCATCGACGATGTCAGCTCTATGGGAACGTGTGTTATCGTCCATTGAAACAAAAGTAAGGCCAACTGCTGCAGTGTACAATCTCACAATGGGTTCTAGGACTTCATCTTGATACCGGACAGCTGTCAAAGAAACCCGTTTAAAGATGTGCAGATCGGTGCAGTATCCTAATGAAATCCCTGCCCACACCATAATGCTTCCGCCTCAGAATGCATGATGTTCGGTGATGTTTTGGGACTGATTGTATTCGTTATTCCCGTCATATCCTTATATGCTTGTCATCTGGCTCCAGAGCAAATCTTGACTCATCAGTAAACATGACATTGCTACAGTCAGACACATTCCAATTGACATGTTCCCAGCACCACTGTAATCGTGCCCCTCTTGATTGGACGGATAGAGGAACACAAACTCGAGCTACCCGGGCGTACAGTCCCCTCATGTAATCTTCGGCTCCGCATACAGTAGCTGCAGATATCGTCTTACCAATGGACGCTGTAACCATAGATGTCACACGTCTGGAGATCGCTCTGGGATTCCGCTTGGCTACAATAGCAATATATCGATCTTCCGCGAGAGTTGTAACCCTTGGGCGACTGGCTACAGGCCTTTGGACAACTGTCTGTGTGGTTTGGAATTGTTTCCATAAATGTGAAATTACAGAATGATGAACGCCGAAGAAAAGAGCAACATCTGTGATCGACCATCCTGCTTCAATGTGCCCCACAGCACGCCAGCACTCAGAATCTTCCATTCGTCTTCTGGAAGTCATAGAAACACGCATGTCTTGAAAACAAATTGTATGAAAGTTTTAAACACATTCTATCCTTCTATCAGCACTTACAATCAACTTCTGTAACCCTTCATAAAGCTGGCTTCTTATAAGACTGCCTTTTTTTGCATATTTCTTGACATGAAAGCACGACTGGCTGTTACCTAACATATTTGCGTACTTCCATGTACCTCTGCAGTGAATTGCATCCTCTTCAATTCTGATTAGTTTCCGGAAATTAGCATTTTCCTCTCCGTGCTTAACTTTTGGAAGTGTGTATCTTTGTTAATTTTAATTTGATTCGATTCATATCTGGCACCGATAATTTTTTAGGTTTTTATGAAAATCCAAAAATTTATGACTTCTTAAGGTAATGGGTTTTTTAGGAATCCAAGGTGAAATGACAAAAACAGTCAAATGATTGCTCTGGCACTTCTAGTGTTAGAGGTAAGTCACAGAAATACTTTAAACCAAGCTCCCCAAGCCATGGAAAATTTTTCAGGATGTGATGAACAGAAAGCTGAGCATTGCATGTTAAACACAAAGGCTCACAGTTGGCTTTGAGAAGATAATTATGATTGGCTCAACAACAAGGCGGCGAGCTAAAATGACTTCCTCTTTCCTGTTTTTAGTGGCCTCCAAATACTCCACTTTATGTTTTATTCCTCCTCACAGCTTATTATTTATCTACACATCCCACAGTAGCTGCTGTTTATTAATAATTTTGTTCTTAAGGGCAGTTTTAGTATCTCTTAGAGGATGAGGTTGACTTTCATCACACTTTGCTGCAACATCTGCTAGCTTATTTCCCTTAATATCTAGATGCACAGGAACCCAGCAGTAAAAAATACAATGTCCACACTTTCCCAAATTTAAATTTAGTTTTAGAATTTTCACAACTAAAGGATTTCAGGTGTCTGAGAATATTTCTAAAGCTTTTCATGTGCTAAACAAGTCAGAATGAATTATGAATCTTCTCTGGTATTGCTTTGAGATACGAAATATGAATACAAGAGCATAGCACAGAGCAGTTAATTCTGAAATGAGTACAGAGCAAGCATCATATAGTTATTTCCATTCAATATGATTTTTGATTATGAACAACATACTAATACAACCAGCTATATAGGAGTATAACTGCTGTACCTCTATCTATGCTCTAGAAAAAGTTGCTGATAAATGGTGTCCTTCTCTTTGTCAAAATGGTTAAAGGCATCAAAAAGCCGAATTTGTATATTCTCTCAGAGCAGTATTTAAAAATGCTTT